TGTAAATTATTTAAATTATTTCAAAATGCATATATATTGTATAAAAATTAATAAAATATTGCAAAAAAGCCAACGTTGGGACACATATAATGTTCTTAGCTTGAAGTTGATAATAGATGAATTCATTCCAACATTAAAAGTAATAACACAGTGTTGGATCTGCTAAACATACATCTGTCATGTTGGACGTGGATCAGAGAATTTAACAAATGGTGCGCTGCATCCTCTAAAGTATAAGTAAATAGTTGGTTAACTATTCAGCTTTTAATGATGAAAATATATTTTATACATGCATGTAGAATTAAGTATACTTTTTCAGTATCTTTTCAATAAATTAAATTTGGTGATAGCAACATGTTTATTGCCATGTATAGAAAAAAAAAATGATTAACATTTATTGCAACAACCAATACAAGATATTAATACGTTCAATTATTTATTCTTTATATTAGAAGGTATCTACCTATTTTTGCAATTTTTTTGTGTGATGTATGTAGTTTAGCATGCTGAACACGATGATAAAGTTAGAATTTGGCGGTCGGACTTAATTTAGAAATTATTGCTATTTCAGGTCTGAGACCCACCCAAGGGAATTTTACATGACAAGTGGAGGGATGTTTTTGATTTTAATTGTCCGAGAGAGTGTATCTATATTAAAATACTATAAATTTCAATATATTCTGACTTCATCATCGTTTACAAAGTGCTTGATACACACGTTAAAATAAAAAAAATTATGAAAAAAAGTGTGTCCGGTTAAACAGAGAAGTTCCAATTTCAATAAAACATAAATCATTTTTACATTTGTTATCGGTATTTTTCACAGTAAAGTAATTTAAAGTATAAGCAAATAAGTAGGTAATTACTAATTAATAAGTCACAAATGTTACAACCTGGACTTTTAATGTCTTACTTTAAACTTTTTGATTTTGTATTTTTTTCCAATTTAATGTCCGGTTGTAATCAGCGTAGATTGCAGAAAACGAAATAATGGGAAATGTTACAGATAAAAAATTACGTTTAAAGTGGTACCATGCACGACTGAATGCCATTTACCTGAATATATATTTGATAGTTTATAGTGAAAAAAATGATTTCTTGAATAATATTAAGCTATTAGTTTATTAAATTATTTACTTACAACAAAACATACAATTGTAGAATATTTGCACAATATCTTGTAACTCAGTCTGTTATAGGTATAATGTAGTGACTAGTGTTCACTGTTGAGATATGTCGACCTTCGGGCCTTGTAATTTGTAAATTGATTACTGAACGCCGAACGGTAACCAGTAAATACCAGTAGATACCAGTTATCACTTTTCCGCATATAAATGTAACCACACGGTCAAAATATTCATATACTATGCGGTATCGTTTGGTGAATGTGGTAACTGATTATTTTACACGACACGATGGACCCTAAAACCTATTGTTCTATGCTAAAACCATGAACATTAGAGGATGTTCCTCAAGGACATTCCTCTAATGTTCATGGCTAAAACCAAGACGGGTTTCCACTATACACGTTTGTCGTGTACACGAAAAAAGTTCAAATATGTCCAATCACATGGTATCGTGGTTAATCGTGTGGTAACTTAACATAACCAACCAATCACAGCAAAGGATTTGTATGCACGTGAACGTATACGTGTATAATGGAAACCCGCCTTAAAGCTATTATTTAGTCATGCCTAAAACCTTACAACCCTTTAAAACTCTGGACGACACTGGTCAGTGATAGATGACTTTAATAGATGATTAAGAAATGGATAGGGCATGCTTTAAATCTAGGTCTAGATCTACGTAGTGTGTCGTATAGTGCGAGGGCGTGCTTGTTATATTTACAACTTAAGGCACATTTATACCGATAAGGGAAAATATATTTTAGGGCAAAGGATAGGTACTACACGACTGATTATATACTTAAAGTTTATTTGTAATTTATATCATAAATATTAGGTAATAAATACGGGGTGTAACTAAATAAGCTCACAAATGAAAAAAAAATTGATACTAGTTAAACGTATGACAAAAGTAAAAAAATTATATGAATAGTAAATCAATATATAATTCTTAATATATAATAAAATAAACTATTGGCACCTAGTATTAAAATGAGTTATTTTTTTAAAATTTTATATAAGTTACAATTGAAATATTACATATAATTACAACTTAAAAATAACAAAATTAAAATATGTAAACACATGTATTTCTAAATTCATTATTTACTTCGTTTTATACTAAATTGATCGACCCATAGGTTAAAAAATTAATTTCTAAGGGATAAGAGGTTCGAGTGGTGCAATTACTGCGATTCGACCATACTAATAGTACCTACCTATGAAGTATTTTATTACATATATGATATACCTACCTAGGTACTTAATAATTATCATTATTAAAATAGGTATTTAAAGAAAAACCATTAGTTCGAAACTAATCAAAGTATAGGTATCCTAATTTCTAGATTTTAATTGTGTAAACGGTACCGCTAAACAGTGGCGTAATTTGTGGGGGGCAACTGGGGCATTTGCCCCAGTCTAGTATTTACATCAACCTCAATTCGGTACATTTACTAATTTTCATTATCTAAATATTTGTATGCCATTGCGTATAGTAAAATGTATCAAAAAAATGTTTTTAACATGCGTAAAATTGTTATGCCCCCACAAATAATGCTAAATTTGGAATCAATGATAAATTATTTTATACGATAAAAACGATTCAGAGCGGAGACGGTCATAGATGATGAAACTAGAATAAACTACGATTCAGGCTAGTCGCCATAGCCTGACCTAATACTGACAGGATCACTTAATACATTTATTTTATAATTAGAATTTTTTTTCATGTTTATTATTTGGCCTGCCCTAATGACATTTTATATAGTTTCGCCTATGGAAATGGTCATAATATATTATTGACATTTGACATTTCAAAACAATTTTAACTGAAACTAAAATTGACTATGTATTTGTTTTATATTTATATATCATTAAAATTGTATTGCAAATTTGTTATGACTAAAAAATTGACTATTTGTTTTTAAATCATACATAAACTGTCATTGAAATCTCGTGAATATAGGTATCTGTTACAAATTATTTTTATTATAGGGTCATTTTTCGGGGACTAAATATCCGGGGTTATTTATTTGGCAAATGAGTTTAAACAAATCTAAAATTTTTAATCGAACCATATAAGTAGGTGTGCATTTATTAAATATATATGTAATCAAAAGTTTATGTTACTTAAGTAAGTAAAGTTAGTAGTTAATAGTTACTTTTAGATAGTGAATAATGCTACTATTTTACATTTGGGAATGCTGAAACATATTTACATTTTTGATTAATATGTACATATATGGCTATCACCCGTCGGACACCATTATTATAAAAATAAAAGAAAGGGGAACTGTGCTAATAATACAGCCGCACTACCACCTACCACATACTGTGAGTGTTTATTTTCTAACACTTGTATACCTAATATTAATTTAATATTACACACTTCAGAATTTTGCACCCGAATAATCCATAAAAACTGAAATACGAAACCTTTTCACCAATATTTAAAAAATTGGAATACCTACCCGAATGAAAGGTACCAACTCAGGTATCAATGAAATAATAACTAAGCATATTTTTTAATAATAAATCAATAATTATTTGTAGTTAGATAGGTATAGTATATAGTATATATTGTGTATGTACCTATACTTTTTGTAACTGAATTAGGAGATACATATAATACAACAACGCACATTGCACATAATATTTTATAAGTATAAGTATAGTGTATACCTAGGTACCTAAATACAATAGTTTAATATTAAAAAAAAAATATAGGTCATGAAAAAGTTTTAACTTTTGAACCAACTTTTTTTATTTTTTGACATTCTGATGTTCTTTATTGTATTTATTGTTGTTATTTTGATGATTATTAATTATTATATTTATATTTCTTAACTAATTAATAATGCTCAACACCTAATTAGGTATATAGTTAAAAACTTGTTGAGTTTATAAATCTGCATTATAATTATAGATTGGTAGACAAATTTATATTTAGTATGCCAGAATATTAAAATAATTTATAATCACCCACCGCTATTCCAGAGTCTACGATACGCTACTGATATAACTATACAAGTTATTAGTGTTATTACATAAACTATTATATTTTTGGATCGGGTCCGTTTATAAAACCATCTGTACCGACCAGCAGTTACGCATATCTACATCGTCAGCCACATAGCGCAGTATTTCAGATTTCTTTCGTCGTAAATCGGTGAGTAGAATTTTCTTATATTTTTACCAGCACACATAAATTCGGAATTATAATAGTCATACAAATTGTACGACTTTGTCGTGTTATCGAACAATAAACGAAAAAAAAAATGAGATAATTACCTATATATTGTACTATATTATACTATATTACACAATACATATTATATAATTACTTGAAGACTACTTGAGGACGTGAAGTCTATTTACGGGTTTTTAATCAATATATAATGTACAAAATATATTAGGTATACCTAAATTGTACTTGGTACTTCGAACATCGAATGTTTTTTATATAAAAAATAAAATAAATGTGTGGTGTTCCTTACTTTCGGTTTTAAAGTAAAATATTTTTTATTTTAAATAGCAGTATTTACCCTCTGCCGACTTATAATTTCTGTATAAACTGAGTATTTTAACCTGTAGGTATTTTTCACCTCATTGTGATGAGCTACCCTGCAAACGCTTTTAAATCTCTGTGACAGTTTTTGAGAGGTTGTTTACTTGTTTGATTAGGTAGGTACATTTAAAACATAGGTACACTCATAAGTTATCACAATATATACCTATATATATATCTACTGAAATGTTTTATAATTTGTGTGATTCCTTCTCGTTAACAGAATATTTACTGGTTTCCAGTTCTGATCATCAGCTTATTGTTTGATGTGCTTTTTTTCAGGTTCAAAAACCCAAATCAGCAAAATGTGTGACGATGATGTAGCATCTTTGGTTGTCGACAACGGCTCCGGTATGTGCAAGGCCGGTTTTGCCGGTGATGACGCACCCCGTGCCGTTTTTCCATCCATCGTCGGCAGACCACGTCATCAAGTTAGTATAAACTATAAACAGTAAAATCAGGCGCGTATCCAGAATTTTATTTCGGGAGGGGCTGAAAAAAATTATCAACATAGTCACACAATAAAACAAAAAAGTGGGTAAGTGGATGTCGCTCTGCTGTACAGTAGGTTACAAGTGGGTCACTGTAATGGATGGTGTAAATTTGAATTCAATGATATAATATCATTGTATAAGAAAAACGATTCTAAGCGAAAACGGTCCAGTCTGCCTATGATATTACTAAGTATATTTGATGATATTATTGTAAATAAAGTAATTTATATATTTACCTATTTACGTGGACCATTGTTTTAAATTTTTAATCCTTAACTATGAAAGTTGAACATTTTATAAATTTTTAATTACAAAATATTTATTACATTTTAAATTTGATAAATTTTGTCAAAATTCGAACTTTAAATGATTATAAGAAAAAATTGTGCCTATGTATTTTTAATACTTTTCAACTAATATTGTTACAATATATCAGGAGCCTTGCGTTAAATTTTCATGCTTTTTTACCCAACAAAAAATTTTTATTGATATTTATAGAAAAAAAACTAAGAAAAACGAAAACTGTCAATGTCCGTAAATAGCTCAAAAAGAGGCAAAATATTTTCAAATTTTTTTGGTGTATAAAAAATGAAAACATTCAGCAAAATTTAAGTTTTGTGATTTTTCCGTATTTTGTCAAGATTCGAACTTTAAATGCTTATAAAAAAACTATGACTAAGGATTTTTAATATTTTTCAACTGCTATTGTAACAATACAGCAGGAGCCTTGTATTAAGTTTTCAAGCTTTTTTTATCCAACAAATTAAGTTTTATTGACATTCATATTTTTTGGATTTTCTTGGAATTTCAGGGGGGGCTGCAGCCCACCCAGCCACCCCCATAAATACGCCCCTGAGTAAAATAGTAAACACCCATTCCAAACATTATCCCAAATCCCAATGATATTATTTCGGGAGCTTTTTAAAATTCGTTGAAAAAAAAAATAAACAATAATACTTTATTTTTCTTAACATATTTCATTCTTAGTATTACTAAGAGTTTTGTCAAAAACACATAAACAAAATCTTAGTTATAATATAATAACTACATTGTCTTCTAGATACCATATAACTATATAAGGCACTCCCAAAATTCGTAACTAAAGAAGTCACGTGAATTTGTCACATACCTACCCGTTGGACGGAGTTAAAATATAAGCTACGGATCCATCACTGACATTGTGTGGAAGGCAATGGAATTTTTTATTAAAACATAAATATAATAGTTATATATAGGTATTAAAATGTATTTATTACTATGGTTTATTTTATATACATCAGATTTCAAATAAACTACCTTTTTGAATTCCACTCCTTAGGGCAGGTCCAAGTATTCAATATGTGACATACCTATTCATACATGCATAAATTTGATTTTAGTTAAAACATTAAACATTATTCAAAACAGTTTTTAGTTGGTATTGAATAAAATGTTTACCTTTATTAAATAATTAGCTACAGTAATTTATTTTTGTTACACAATTATACAAACTAAACAATATTCATAATAAAAAAAGGGTAAGTGGGTGTCGCTCTACTGTACAGTAGATAGTTGTAAAAAAAATCCCCAGTTGCATGATACCGGTGACTGATTTGACTAAATATGGGTACAATATTTATCCAGTCTATCAACTCGAGGGCACTCACCCCAATTAAATACTTAAAAACTACAATTTTACTACAATTTTTTTATTTATTTTAAAAACAAGTCTAGTTTTTAGATTTTGACAATTGAAAGGCTCTGTGCATAACCAGACAGCTCCGTTTAATAGGGACATATTTAATGTTAATATATGTATGATATAAAAAGAAAATTATTTTATTACTTAAAATAGTGATAAAACTGTGTACCTAATAAGTGATTGAATTTTTAACTTTAGCCACAATAAGAAAGTTGTCTGTTTATGCTCGGAGTTAAATCTTTTTTTTTTTTTTTTTTATAATGTAAAATCTACTAGAATTAGTTTTTTTTATTAACTGAGTTAATATTTCATTTATTTATCAAAAGCAACTTGTTTTAAGAAAAAAAATATCCTGACGATTTTAAAATAAACTATAGTTATATTTCTGACAATAACAAGATAATCCAAAATGATTATTGTTTTTAGTTTAACTGATTAAATAATTTTAAAATAGCTTAGTAAGGTAAGAACTCGTTTTCACTTAATTTTAGCTAAATGAATATTTCTTTATAATTTGTATCATATTTCGACGAACAGATAGTAACGAAAATAATTGTATCATGAATTTACTAAAACTGCATCTACCTTAAAATAGCAGGTAAATAATAGTCAGAGTAGAATGTAACACATTTAACAACCATGGATTTTTATTTATCAGCTTGATTTATCAGTTTAGCAAATAAAATATAAAAACCAATGAAATATTTATACAAAACTTTATTACTTGATTTTTTCATCTAGTTAAACAGCATAATGCTCCTTGCTAATTTATATAAAAATAATAAATAATATCGACAAATAAACTTAAACAAAATTTACTTCAAAACTAAAATAAAACAAACTAATATCTCTCGATTCTAAATTTATATAAAATACCACCAAATAATTCAAATTGGAAATCTTAACAATTTTCAAAACATAAATTAATAAAACAAACGCAATTGATTCTTTATCAAAATATAGTTCTTATATTAAGAGAGTACATTTTTTTTCATTTCATCATTGATTATACCATTGTTATCTTATTAAAGTTTCTTCACAAAGATTCAATGTATCAGGTGAACATCTTTGTGCTAAAACCAACAAATGACCTATATTATAAACATTAGAGTTGACACAAAGTGTAATATTCTCTACTCCTTTTTTTCAGATAATTGCTTACCAGTAGAATGTCCGAATACTAAAAATAGCAGAGCTGCTCGCGCGCTCTCTCATCCTCACTCTTTCGCGCTCCGTTCTCTAATTTAGATTAAAAAAAAAAAAAAAAACTCAACTCAACTTGGGGGATCAACCCAATGCCCCCCGAATACGCACTGGACTAATACATAATTATAAGAATTATTTACAAATTAAAATAGAACTAAATTAATATTGTAACACTTAAAATTTGATGTTTATAAAAATTGTCTATACCTAAAAATAAATATACTATACGTTGATCACGATTTTAGCACATGAATATCTTAGGGTAACTTTGTATGAAAGAGGTATCGGGGTGAAGGGAGCACTTAATAAGTTTTAGCCAGTTCAATCTTACTCACTCGGTATCGCATGCGCATACGACTACTTTTTTCATGCACCCAGTTTTTTCTGCAATTCAGTAGAGTATTTTTTTTAAACATTTATGATAAAAGTTTGTTCTATTTTCAAAACTGACCCATAGGTAGTCAAATTGATTTATGCACATTCGTGTTAAATTTTTAGTGTATGATATTTTGTCAACTGTATTAATTAAATGTACAACAAAATAGTTATAACTTATAATGATTATAGTAATAACTAATAGTAATATTATAATAAAAAATAAAATGTATTAAATACATTTATCGAATGAATTGTTCGAAGTTTTCTCCATCAGGTTCTAAACATGATTCCAGTCGTCTCAAAAATTCAGTCGAAGTTGCCTCCTTGATTTGGTCCTCACTTAAAATATCACATGCTGTTTGTATTTTGTGTTTTAAGTCATGAAGATTGACAGGTGTATCTGCATAAACCGCAGTCTTCAAATTTCCATTTCCAGTGGCTATAAATGAAAATATCATTAAACACGAATTATGCATCAATCCAATTTTTGACTTACTCTAACTTGGTCAGTTTTTAAAATAGAAAAAAAACTTTTTATACAATAAATGTAGATCTACTATTTATGGTATAATTTGTATAAGATAATCTTTAAAATAATATTCAATATTAATTTTATTTCTAATATATAATTTATAAAATAATTCTTATAAATTATTTATATTTAGTCAATCCCCAGTATAATGCCACTGGGTTTTTTTTTCCGAAATTTGTACAGTAGGTTACAAGTGGGTCACCGTAATGGAAGGTGTCAAATTTAAATTCAATGATATAATATCATTGTATACGAATACGATTCTGAGTTATGACGGTTTGTTAGCCAAGGATACTTAACATTATAATTTATATTTATAATATTATTAATACGATAGCCGGTAAGTTGAACTGTTGAAGTAATACTATTTGTATATAAAAATATACTTTAGAAGTTTCATGCACCCACGAATAATATTTTTAAATTTTAAAATTAAACTAAAATCTTTCTCCATTGTTTAAATATTTAATTCCATCCAAATTTTAACTTAAAATAACTAAAAAAAAACAGTCTATAAACTATAGATTTTGTAGATTATTTGGTTACAGTATGAACTACTTACGTGGAACCTTATTTTTAATCTTTTGCTATAAAAATTGAACCTTTTATAGAATTTAACTGCAAATTAATTTTTAAATTTTCAATATGATAAATGTTGTTAAAATTTGAACAATACTTTTAGAAAAAAATCTTGCTTATATATTTTTAATACTTTTAAACTATTATTGTAACAAAGTTTTCAAGATTTTTGACCCGACGAATACAATTTTATTGATATTTAAAGAAATTTAAAACTAAAAGGGGGGATTTTCAAAAATTAAATTCCTTTTTTGTTTAGCCAAATATTGTAATAAAAAAAAGAGCCCAAGGGGGGGGGAGGGGAAATTCTTCTTCACCACCCTTGTATCCACCACTGATTACGTAACTGTCTAACCTTCTAGTCATAATTAACAATTACTTTGAAATAATGAAAATTTCTAAATTATCATCTTATCTAGTAATAGCTTATAATGTATAGATATAATATCTTATTTATCCGTATACTCTGTTCAAAATAAAATACATAAACGGGGGCCGATATGTGCCGAGGGGAGTGGCAATACTACACCTAAGGTATATAGATTGGTGACTCAGTGAGAGGACTAACCGGTTTTATCAGAATGCCACGGACGAAAACTGGTCGCCACCGTTTGCGTTTCTTATTTTGAACAGAGTATAGTCGTTACTTTCTTTATTGTTTTATTTTTATCTGATTCCTATAAACAGGTAGGTAGGTACTATAAATTCTAAAACAATATCAGTATAATATTATGTATCTATAAATATGAAATCGTATTGAGAAAAGTATTAGTTTATTTAACTTCAAGATAGGTCACATACTATACCAAACAAAATTAAAAAGTAGATCACATATTTCACCAGTTTCCACTTGCCACCTTTTTCGTTGTGGCTAATAAAAATAGATAGTTATTGTGTTGATAGTCATTGAATGTTTAGAAATACTTAATTCGTCATATGCCGTAGGTATGTTTCCATTTCTTACCATTGGATTTATGTTTATTATTAGGGTGTCATGGTCGGCATGGGACAAAAGGACAGCTACGTAGGAGATGAAGCCCAAAGCAAACGTGGTATCCTTACTTTAAAATACCCAATTGAACATGGTATCATCACTAACTGGGATGATATGGAGAAAATCTGGCATCACACTTTCTACAATGAACTTCGTGTTGCCCCAGAAGAGCATCCAATCCTGTTGACTGAAGCCCCGTTGAACCCAAAGGCTAACCGCGAAAAGATGACCCAAATTATGTTTGAAACCTTCAACGCACCTGCCATGTATGTTGCCATCCAAGCTGTATTATCTCTGTACGCTTCCGGTCGTACCACTGGTATCGTTTTGGACTCAGGTGACGGTGTCTCTCACACTGTCCCTATCTACGAAGGTTATGCATTGCCTCATGCTATCCTCCGTTTGGACTTAGCTGGTCGTGACTTGACCGACTACTTGATGAAGATCTTGACCGAGAGGGGTTACAGCTTCACCACTACTGGTATGTTTCTTACCACTGTTCGTATTCACGAACTATATTTATCGTTATCTTTAATTAATTTTCATGATTGCAGCTGAGCGTGAAATCGTCCGTGATATCAAGGAAAAATTATGTTATGTCGCTTTGGACTTCGAACAGGAAATGGCCACGGCCGCCGCTTCCACCTCCTTAGAGAAATCCTATGAATTACCTGACGGACAGGTCATCACCATCGGAAACGAACGTTTCCGTTGCCCAGAATCCTTGTTCCAACCTTCATTTTTGGGAATGGAATCTTGTGGTATCCATGAAACCGTATACAACTCCATCATGAAGTGCGATGTTGACATCAGAAAGGATTTATACGGTAACACTGTACTCTCCGGAGGTACAACCATGTACCCAGGTATTGCCGACAGAATGCAAAAGGAAATCACCGCATTAGCCCCAAGCACGATCAAAATTAAGATCATTGCCCCACCAGAACGTAAATATTCCGTATGGATTGGTGGTTCCATCTTGGCTTCTCTGTCCACCTTCCAACAGATGTGGATCTCCAAACAAGAATACGACGAATCCGGCCCAGGCATTGTCCACCGTAAATGTTTCTAAGTCATCACCTTTCACAAACTAAAATCAAAATTGATATTGCACTTTACACTGTAATGCTTTATGTTATGAAATATCAGATATATATCTGTTATTTATACAGGGAAAAAAACCAATGTGTTGTTTTACTTAATTACAGTTTAATATTGTTAAATTAAAATAAAAAATGTAAATATAATTAATCTTTTCGAAGTTATCGTTTCTATAAGAATATAGTGTTGATTTTTTTAATTTAAATTAACCACCACAGACACGAACTTGGCTAGAGGAGTTATGGAGATATATCTCCCTGGGCTGATAAATATAATAGAATTATGGACCCGTCCATTATTCGAGTAAAATATATGACCTAGTATACAGCTGGTTATGTTTTTGATTATTAACTCCTTGGTCAGAAACTACAAATTTGCAGTGGCGGCTGGTGAGTAAATATTCTGGGGATACTTTAACTAGCTTCTACATCTACATTAAAAATTATGATGGCATACAGACATACAGTACTACTGTAGTACTGTACGTCTGTACGGTATATATAGGTATTGACAGTCGTTAACCCAGGTTCAATAGCGCCTAGGTGTAATAGGGTAATACTAAAACCTGGGACGGGACGGGACTGTTCCATTCCAACTGTGATAACAAAAACAATGTTACCTCAAAATTCTTTCTAATTACTACGAATATTATATTTAATCCTAAATGCATTTAGGAAAACAAAAATAAATTAGAAAAAATAACTAAAGAATGCAAACTACATTCTCAAGATTTCAAACGGAAAAAACTACTGACAATAATTAGTTCATTAAATAATGATGATATTTATATTAAATAGTCAATTGAGTTTAATTCAAAAAAAAAATTGAAAAGCGATTTAAAGAAGCAAAAACAATTTTTTTAAAAATCAGAAGGCATTTGAAGGTTATCAGTGATTAAAAAATCCATATAAAAAGATCAACAGTAGTTCAATTACTGAGCCCGTAGGCAAATTAATATCATAAATCGAAAATAAATGAGATAAAATTAAATAGTAAGTATTCTCTAAAGCTCAAAAGTTGAAAATATTTATATTAAAAAAAACAACTGAGTTAAATAAATGAAAAAAAAATTGAAGGGGAACGTGAGAACCCGCAGGCAAATGCATTATACAAAGTAAAAAAATAAAAATAAGATAAAATTCAATTCTTCAAACACTGAAGAATGTAAACAACAATCTCCAGATTCTTAAAAAAAAACAATTCATAGTAATTTATTATTTTATTTCAAAATGATTATTCAGTGGGCTCCACGTTATCAATGTAAAACATAAAATATAAAAATACTTCTATACATTTTCATTTTAAAATAATTATTAGTTACAAGTAGCTGGTTTTTTTTCAGGGGTGACGCAGTCTCAAAGTCTCCCCTGACGAACCACATCTGCAAATTTGAATATAGCTCATACATATAGTTCGAACATATCAATAATTAATAGGTATTTTAAGACGATAATGAGATATTGTAATACATTTATTTAACAAAAAACCACTTAAACAGTATTGTGATTAACTGTAAGTTATTATTATTTTTTTATAAAACCATAACTTTGATTTACTTCCATAACATAGTGTACAACATTTTCCCAGATTGAAATTAATTTTCTAAGAACAATTACCAAAATGTACAAGACAAAATTATTTTCAAGCTATGATTGGTCAAAAATCGAATACATTTTAAACTGTGCTCAAATTTCTATTATGGGGTGGCTATTTTTTTATTGTAAAATCAACATACCAATTGAGTTTAATTTAGACGAATGGGATGTGTTTTTTGTATTTTACTAACGTAATCGACAATTTTAAGAAAATCATAAACTAAACCACTTGGTCAATTTTAAATCAATTTTAATTTTTCATGTTAAATTTACTTTTTAAGAAGGTGGTTAAGTGGGTACCGCTCTGCTGTACAGTAGTTGTAATGGATGTGTTATATTTGAATACAATGATAAGCCATTGTATACGAAAAACCATTCTGAGCGGTTAGTGTAGTCCTTATAATATTATTATTTTTTATTCGTTGCTATTGATTAATCACGAAAAAACCTAATCAAACATTTTAATTTTTCATGGAGAACCTTAAGATGTTACGAGGCATTTGGGTTGTACCTATTTATATACTTGGCCATATATGCATAAAGCTGCTGTAGCTGTAGCGGCATTGATTTTTTAGAAGGATTGCTGAACTTTTGAGGGCCTAAAATTCCAAATCCCTTCCCCGATTCCCTTCAGTGACCAGCCACAAATGATTATACAGTGATTTTTTATTGGTGAAATGGACTAAATCCCCCTTTAAATATAGATCGTAGTTATGATTTAAGAGTTTGTCTATTAAACAAATACTTAGGCTGCTGGATTTCTTGAATCTCTCTGGGCTCGTTCGGCCTCTTGTGCATGCTTTATCACTAAATGAAGGACATTATATTATTATGTGTTTAGAAACAATATGCAAATGGTCTGAATTTAAGGAGACCAATTATATTTTATACAATATATTATGAAGAGTGTTTTAAGTTTTATGGTTGTGTGCGTAGAGTTATTATTATCAACAATTCATGCAATCTATAATTCAATCTGGGTAATCGGGTGATTGTAAATTTCACCGATAAGATTTTTTACTTGTGCAAAACATGTAAATTTGGCTGTTTCTAACTATTAACATTTATTACTTGTGAAATAAACGTGAACTTCAGTGATATTATTATTTTTAAATTTAAAATTAAAAATAAAATTTGATTTTGGTATAATGACACTAGTTTTCTATCCTTATGGTAAAATTAATTAAACAATACTTTCAGTGTTTCAATATCAAAATCTTGATAATTTTAAATTCTGAGAGAAGCGATGAATGTATTGATTTCACAATGATATGTGTTTTTTTGTCAGTTACTGAATAATGTTTAATATACAGTATAAATGAAAACTAGTAGAAAAAATGTTTTGATTTTCAGTTTTGAGGACGGTTACTGATAGCAAACTTGATTTAGTTAATACTTTTGGTTGGTGAAGCCTTGTCAGACCTTGCTGCCAGCCTGGGACTGGTACTTGACTGGTAAAAGACTGTAACCTCCGAAATGGCATTGGATTGACTCATGCCAAACATCGGAGGGCCATGCTAATGGAAACGTAAGCAGCTACTCTCATCGGTAGTCCATAGCAAGCTGTTGTACGCCACACCACTGTGGTCCGGCACGTTTTAGCTGTAGTCAGCGATATCATGTGTCAAACGAAGCCGCACTCCTCCTAGAAGGCATTTTCACCTGCGGAACTCCTGGCCTCGGCGACCAAGATGGCGATCCGCCACCAGAGGGCCGTCCTCTTCCTCGGGCTAAGATCAAGGACATTCAAGGCCATTGAACGGAAGACCACCATCTGGGAATGGGCCAGGAGATGGAGGGTCTCCACCAAGGCCCCCTGGACCCACAGATTCATCCCAAATGTCGTCAGGTGGAAGGAGCACATGGTGCCCTGGGTACCGATGACCTTCCACATAACCCAGGCACTAACTGGACACGGGAGCTTTTAACAGTACTACCATCGCATGGGTAGTGCCAATAGTCCCCACTGCATGCACTGCTCTAGCTTACCGTACGCGCCTGTGATGTCCAATGGCTCTAGTAGACATGTCGAACATCCTCTGCTGACTGGTTTTCTTGGGTCTCCCAACTGACTCAGCAGAGAAAGCTAACATACTGTGGAGTAACGACCGAGCAAACGTTTTGGCTTTGCTACCTGATGACGGAAAAATGTATGGCAATAAAGGAGGAAGAAGAGAGAGCTAGGCAGGCAGCCGACTAGCCAAGGCAGCCAGGGTGTACAGAAACTAATTTGTCGCTAAAAAAAATGTATATTTAATATATATTTTCGTAAATGCCTTATTATTATTTTTAATTAAGTGTAATGTATTAATTTAAAATTAATAAACGATGGTGGCGCTGTCAATGTAATGCTTAAGCAGTTCCGGCAGCGCCTTCAATGCCACAAAAAAAAAAGTTGGTACTTTTGAGGGATCAAAGCTAGCAATTATCAGTATTTTCCAAAAATAAACAGAAAAATAAATAATAAAAAATGGGAATTTTTATGTAATTCAAAAACTAATTACTTGCAATTTTCACCAAATGTTTATATTAGCATTTTCTGTACATGATCAAAATATTGACGCTTTTTTTTTATCTATTTATAGACATTTGAAATTTAAATTTTTTTCTTTAAACTTCAATAAAACATTTTTTGATAAATGTTCGAAATTCTTTAGTTTTTTCTAAATTTTTAACTTACGTATTATTGAAAGAATTTATTGTACTAGTTTTGTGAGGTCCACATATAAGTCCAATATAAACTTAAAGCGCCCAGTGCCGATGCCATTTTGTCCTCAAAAATACACTCTAGAGTCTAGGGGAATAACGATACCATACCGCCTTGTAGAATCAACCAAATTTCATAACTTTATAATATGTCAAAAAAAATACGAGATAAAAATCATTTTTTTACAAATATTTTTAATACACGTACGTTACCCCAGCACACCCCCATACGATTTTCATATTTTTTTTTGTCCTAATATTTAGTATGCAATTATTATGCATTTCTCCAGCACCCCCCCCCCCCCCCCCCCCCCAAATAGAACCGATGGCAACAGTGTGTTTTTTTCGGTCCCATAATTTAGTATGAGAGACGTACGAATTTGTATGCTTGTTTTATAAAACGATAGTTAAGAAACTAGTTATTTTTTTGAATTTGCGTGATTTCCGAGTATTAAAAAAATATTTGCAACTCTACCATTGTACCTACGACCCAACACCATAGAGGTATAATACCAATCCTGGGCTGGAGGTGCTGTCCATCTTTTCTATGTGCTTTGGAAATGAAAACATACGTTGATCAGAAAAATTGTTTTTTATTTTAGTTCTTGTGATTTGCGAGTGTTAAAAAATTATTAACCCATGTGTGTTTAGTTAAGACACTTATCTACTT